CAATATTCCTACAAATCTTAGGTATGATAAATTATCATTTGAACCTGATTTGATACTTTTTGTCCCCCGCTTGAAAAGTGGGAGATATTAATTTGGGTCTATCTGTCAGTCCGTCCGTCTAGCTGTCCGTCCATCCGTCTTTCTGTAACGCTTTCGTTTCCACACGATTTCTCGCCAACCCTTTGAACATTTGCAATGAAATTTAACATAACAGAATCCCTGTGGCCTTAGGAATACCCCTTTTGAATTTGGGGTCAAAAGGTCAACATTCAATGTCGTAAAGAACTACGAACGATAGTATTGTTCTTCCGCCTATCTCTTAGTCAATTCTCAAAAGTTAACATATTGGAATGATTCTAAAAAAATTTATAGATATTTATATGAATTTTCATAAAACCTTACTTATTTGGGATACCAAAGAGAAATAACTCTATAATTTTGGCAAAACTTGTGTTTTTAAATACCTGGAGTTTAACAGAGAGATTATCAGATATGGTATCAAATTAACATCGAAAAGCAGACAGGTACTGTAGATTCCTTAATATTAGCGAGGAATTAATTTCTGCGAAATTTCGCGAGAAGTATCACTCGCGAAAAAAATATTACTCGTTTTTTTTCTGGTGCTTAAATCTATGTAAAATCTGTTCATTAACCGTTCATTCGCGAATTATAATTCTAGCGATTTGACGTTTGAGAGCCAGTTCGCGATAAAAAACACTCGCGAAAAATTAGGAATTTACAGCTAGTAATTAGTATTCTGATTTTCCTGAAAATGAACATAAATAGACTTTGAGATTTAAAAGAACAAAATTTCGATTTACTACAGACTTCCTTGTACAGTGCTTATACTGTATTTAGAATGCTCTTTTTTTCAAATATCATTGACACTTAAGGTTACGAGTTATAGAAATAGATATTTCTGGGTCGGAATGATAAAGAGTTGAGCTGATAGACCTTAATTCAGCCAGTCTTTTCTTCGTTTTCCGTTTCTTGGTTTTCTTCAATCCATCAGTTTTTAGAAAGAAACACATCAAAGTAAGGGCACCGCAAAGCGGAGCATTCCTTCCCCAAAAAACATGTTCAGTAAATCATTTGACATCGATCCCGATACAAATTACGTCAATTCCACACAGAAAAAACTAAGATACACATAAAGTAATAACACACATAATTGCATCACTATATCCCATCATACGTTGCGAAGGGATAATACTGTTGTCTATTTCTAAAATATAAGTCTAATTCCTTTTGTTTAATGAAAATTTTTTCAAAGTGCGTTAAATGTTTACATGGTGTAAAATTATGATGTACAGTTTTAACGCACTTTGAAAAATTTTTTCAAAGTGCGTTGATTTGGTCCCAAATTCAACGCACTTTGAAAAAATTTTTCAAAGTGCGTTAACCTGGTCCCAAAACTTAACGCACTTTGAAAAAAATTTTCAAAGTGCGTAATTTTTCAAAGTGCGTTGTAACATACCATTGACATTAGTTAGAATAATCTAACTGTGTCTCGGTACCGATAGAACGTTCTATCTACATTGACACCTCAAATTTAATGATGGGCAAATCAATTTGCGCCATATGGAAAAATCAGAAGCATTTATAAACAAGCTAATTCAGAGAATTTGTGTCCCCCGCTTAGGGAAAAAGTAAACCATGCGCAGTTCGGGGGGGGGGGGGGATTCCCTGACTGAATTTGTATACTGAGGCAAATAAAATATGTCAGATTTGATTGCTTATTCTGAATTATGTGTATAGAAGATTCTTCTCATATGGAATATTTATCACAATGTAATGATGATTTTATGAGTTTGTACGAGCCAGGCCTCATAAATTTTTCATTTCACATGCTGAATACTGTCATTTAGTAAAAAAAAAAGTATTTCGGAAAAAAAAGAAAATAGATCGCCCTGGAATCTACCCGGGACCTCTCTCATGTGAAGCGGGAGACATACAACTACACCACGGAACTGCTGTACTTTAACCCTTTCTCTACCGGCGCATTTTACGTGATTTTGGAGACCTTTTGACATGGCATTATTAAATTATTTCTAACTTTTTTATCCAAGGAGAAAGCTAGGTATAATGCATACCATTTGTAGGGAATTTCGTAGAGATGATATTTTATGACTATTCAGATACTTAACGACTGACCTTGTTAGTAAAAATGGAGGTCAAAGGTCAATTAAATGCAAAATTTTATGGAATTTTTTGATACTTTTTAATCTTCAAGCTAAATTATTACAATGATGTATGTTAAAATAGGAAATTTGGGATATATCCACAAAAGAGCATTATACTGTACTACATGAAACACATAAACTTTTTTTTCCAAATCTGCATGTAACTACTTAAAAGGGGGTTGCTTAGCAACGCAGAATTTTTTAATTTTCAGGCAGCAATTTTCGGTAAAAGTATATATTCAAATAGTATAAAAAGTCTATGTTGTTCCGAGTAAGACACAATCGACCTTGACGTTACTTGTAAAGATTGACCGATTTTTCAATAAAAAAATATGCGAAGGTCACAAATTCAAACTATCGTAATTAAGAAAATACTGAGCGTAAGAAGACCTGTAAGGGCTTGCTGGAAAGAAAATTTTCTCTATTTTTACCAGCTTTATTTTGTTTTCCCTGTTTCACAGAAATAAACGTAAAACTGAGCTTTGTTTAAACATTACGAATAAAATCGAGAAAAACACATCAGTGCAAGAAAATTCTTGTTTTTAAAAAATACTTAAAAGTAATAACAATAATTTTTACATGTTTTAAAAGCAGAGAAAATATGCTTTATGAATATATCATACTTTCTTTTTAAAGTTAATCAGGGAAAAAATGTCAATCGTCGGGAAAATCAGCAATTGCTTTGGAAAATTACGCCATTTTCAAAAAGTCATGTTTGTCTTCAAAACGTAAAATCGATTAAATACCGACATTAAGACATAAACTTTTTAGATATTTTAAAGGTAGAGAAAATTTCCAAAAAGATGGTATATAGTTTATGTACCATTATGCTACCATCAAATAGATAAGGAGATCTTATTTTCGGGAAGCCGTGTTTTAACGCGCCACGGTCAATTTGACCGATACGGAAGTGAAGGGGTTAATGAAAATTATATGCAAAGAGGAAGACACATACATGTATATATTCACGTTCGATATTGTCAAAATTTTACACAATGCATGTGTCTAATTTAACCTTCATTAAACAATTCTAATAGATGTAATAAGAATATAAAATCCGCCGAGAACCTGTTTTATACGTAATAACTCTCCTTCATGCCCCTACAGGTGCTAATAATAGCGACATGTAATACAATAAATACTAATAAAACAAACGGGGCAGGACACTTTGAGAGGGGTGAGAGAGGTCTTAGGGACTTTTGGTATAAAATTACATTGCAAAAGCTCAAAATCCTCTTGAAATATCGCCCGAAAAAGATAGTGTTACAAACAAACAGAATGTATATATTTATGACCTTGAACTTTGACCTTTTGACATGAAAATCAATAGGGGTCTTCCTTAAGCCACAGGGAGTTGTTCTGTAAAATTTCATTGCGAAAGCTTAAAGGGTTCTCGAGATATCGTGTGGAAACGAAAGCGATACAGACAGACAGAATGACGGACGGACGGACAGACGGACGGACTCACAGACCCAAATTAATATCCCCCACTTTTCAAGCGGGGGACAAATCAGGCACGTAGCATCGTTTTTGAAAGTGTGTGTGTGTGGGGGGGGGGGGGCAACCAGAGAATTTTTTTACTTACCTGTAAAAGTTGACAAGCAAAAAAAAAAAGGAATTGCCAAAACTCAAAAATCCTATTTCGGGGGGGGGGGGGGGGGGGGGGTGGGGTAGTGGCCATTTTTTTTCAAGGGCCAACTTCCTTCCACTTCCAATTTTTTTTTCATACAATACTACATTTCCTTCATATTACTATACTGTGGTAAGAAGTGGGGGCCAACCAACCTTTCAATGGACATTTTGTGAAGGTAATGTTGGGGGAAAAAAGTGGGGGAGGTGGCACCCTACCCCCCCCCCCCCCAAACACACACACACACACAGTTGCTACGTCCCTGCAAAAAGACTGTTCCAAATGTACAAGAAAAATCTTTGTGTACGAGTTCGTTGACTGTTCAATTTTTCTACACTAAGGAAAAGAATTCCTTGTATCACACAAGAAAACTATGTATAGGAATGACAAAAGTCTTGTGTACGAGTTGACTTCTGCTTTGTGTACGAGTTGACTTCTGTTTTGTGTACGAGTTGAATTTTTGTGTACGACCCGGTTTGTGTACGAGTTGACTGGACACTTGCCGTTGATGGTGGCAGAGGATAGTTTTTTTTTGCAACCAAAACGTTTGACTGACGGTTTACCTAATATTGAGCTGCTTTAAAAATGTGCATTGAAAATTTTTAAATTCCCTCTACATGTAATAATGGTATGATGTAGTCCCTTGAGAAATTTGAAGCTTTTAGGAATAAAACATGTACAACTTACACAATGAGCCCTAAAGATGGCGCAGGGACAATCTCAAAATTTCATGTGAATCAAGCCTATTTTCACTATTTCGCCACAGCCGCATCTGCTTCCAGGCCCGTGCACCTGACCTACGCTACCACACAAACTGCAGAATAACATTTGTACATACCAATGGACAGCAAGAGATAATGGCTCAACCACCTCGTTTTCAAGCTATAATTCATCCTGTGAACCCACCCCGCTTTTCTGGTGAAATACCGGTAGAGCGAGTTTTGAGCTTAGTTTCGTATTTCTAGTCCATATCCCATATACAGTAGTAGTGACACTAAAGTGTCATATTTCAATAAAATATACAAGGCCACCAATTCTCTCCAAATGCACCCACAAAATATTCTAGCTATAAAATTACCTATAATATGCATTCAAACCTCAGGTTTCTCTATTTTTTCTATTTTTTGACGGTACTTTATTCGAAACTATCCTCTGCCATCTGATGGTAGTAACTTGATTACGAGTCGGTCATGTTACAATTTGACCAGAAACCGCAGTATTGACTCGAGGACTTATTCCTTATAAAAAAAGATAAACTATCTACGGTACTTGGTATTTAAAAGGTTTGTTAAAGAATATATTTTCACTTAGAAGGATTTTTGCTGCAATTATTACTATCAGAATATTTAACATCTAAACAATTATGTTTCAAAACATTGTATGATCTCAACATGTTATTGTTAGGGACTGTCCATGATGTTGTCGAATTCAGGCCCTTTGATATGATTGATAAGAGTGATCTATTTACACCCTCTATGAATAGAATAGAATATATTTATTATTCCAGATCAGGGCCATTGTGGGCATATTACATACATGATTATTAAACAGATCATATAATAGTTATTAACAAAGTGTGATATAATAATATAGTATTCAGCATATTCTTAGTACATGTATATACTAATCAATTTACACATGGTTCATAAGTTGAGATAATTGCTAACATGTGAAATTTAAATATACATATATAAAGAAGTACCACCGTGTACCATAATGCAAAAAAGCCAGAGATATACATACACAGAAAAAAAAAAAAATATATATATCGTCTCGTATCCTATTTTCGACCGTATTGTATTTTCGACCTATTTTTCCCAAACTGCTTCCCGTGCAATCACCGCACGGTAGAACATTATTTTCGGTTGCTACACTTGGAAAAATACCTTTGAAACACAAATGTAGCGAAAATACCAAAAATAATTAATTCAACGGAATTTCCCCGATGGTTTTAGTCCATTGTCAGAAATTCTAGTCTTTTTACTAATGCACATTTTATCTGTTGATTAATCAAAGCCGTAATCGGTTAATTACAAAGATTTCTTGATGAAATTTTTCCAAAAGAAAATTAAGATCTCTGTCAAAGAGACGCTTGAATATTGAAATGAATGGGTGGATCAAACGAATTTTATTCTTCCTTAAATATGGGCACTTTCTTACAGATTTTTACCGAAAAGTGCAACGTAATTTCATTGATTTTTTGTGGAAATGCACAGCTACTGACAGATGGGTTCAACCAATGAATAAATGTATTTGCAACCAAAATATGCAACTATGTTCAAAGTTTTTTTTAAAGACAGACAATCGTATTTTCATTGATTGGAATATCCAATGGATATTTATAGCCAATACTGATTGGGCGTTGATACTATATTTAGGTCGAAAACACAAGACGTTAATATTTTTGCAAGGAAAACTGCACCCTCTCCATATTATGGCATATAAATAAAATAAACACAAAACTGCAATTTGAGTTATATCATTTTATTTATAAACACATATGCTAACATTTTAAGTCCATATTTTCTCAGATTCTATAAAGTTTGCAATAAATTAATAAATAACATCTAAATAGGTCGAAAATACAATACGCCAGGATATATATACATTTTTCTTTTACATATATACTGGTGTCTCATTATATCGCGGTACTTCAAAATTTTGCATAAAAAGTGTAATTTCAATTTTTTAATTTTAGCTTTCATCAAATGATATTCATTAACCAAACTATGGCCTAACTTTTGAGTGTCAAATTATTTCCCAAGCTTGCATCGTTTAATTTGTAGTCTATTTTTAAAACAGGAAGTCTTATTTACCTCCTAAATGGGAGAGTCTCATAGTATCGCGGTATGGGAAACATGGAAACTTGTAGTTGACATGGACTTCAATTCTTATTTTTAATTTTACGATGTAATTCTACATAAAAAAATAAACAATTATATAAACTAAAGACTTTCAAAACGTGAACTTTAGGCCATAATAAAAATATTCCTAGATTCCCATCCCCGCCCGCCCCGATTTTATACCCCCGCCTCGATTTTTTTTATTTCTGTTTTTCTTTGTCGTAATTCTGATCGGGATCGATATTCATCTACCATTCTACTTTCGTTTTAAATCCCGCAAAAGTCGACATGATTTTGACAGCTGATAAAATGGTAATTGCTGTAATACATGTGTATATATTTTAAACAAGGGTCATTGGTTGAAAAAGATTGGTGATGATGTGAAGTAAGAGATAATTGAACCTTTATTATGACTTTTATTCGGGTATTGTAGATAAAATTACACCGATTGACCAGGTTAATAAAAAATCTGCAAAATTGAAAAAATAAAAAATATAAAATAAAAGCCGCCCGCCCGCCTCGATTTTTAAAAAAAAATCGGATGAGAATCTAGCAATTTATTTATTATGGCCTTATCATGGATTTTACTAGATTGTAAGTTCATTAGTCTAAATATAATAAAAACGGGAATAGAAATTTGTAAAATTACGTTTTATTTGAATAGAAACCTTTTCGACGCATGTTCCATACTTTTTAATCATCACAAAAATTTACATTCAGACGACAGACATTTAGTTTTTTCAACAAAAAGGATATGAGCTATGTATCTGATTTTTTGGAATATACCGCGATATAATGGAACCCGCGATATAATGAGAATTGAGTATACACATATATACATACACATACATATATATGCATACATGCCCACACACATACATACTGAGTAGCTATATTCCACTAAATTGCAAAAGATACCACGGGGCAGTGCATTGGTACTTTAAAAGTCACCATGTTTGCATATTATATGACCAAAGTAATATTTATTAAGTGTTTTAAGTATATACAAATTATTCAATTTCTTTATACATGTAGAAGACACACTATATTGCATCCTTGATCAATTCACAAGGGGATTAAAGAACTTAAGATTTTTTTTTTAATTCAGTCATACAGTGTTTTTCTCTGAATATAAAAAAAATTACATGTACCTATTGTTATTAAGAGAAATGCCACATTATATGCATCAGTACTTTATATGGCTTGTCTAACCAGTTCACAAACAGCTGAAAGTACTTCAATATTTTCACAGTTTAGAACCCACAACAACTTATTTTCATCATTTGAATGAGAAAAATTGATACAGTTTCTTTGTATAATATTCATCATATTCTCTCGTTCTGTAACAAAACTCAAACATTCAAAAAGTGTGTGTTTTTCATCTTCAATAACATTCAATGAGCATTTACTACAAAGTCGTTGATCTCTAGGAATGCCAAAATAACGGCCTCTTTCAATTTGTAAATTGTGAGAAGATGTACGCAACCTACATATTAATTTTCTTTGTTCAAATGGCAGGCATAGTAAATATTTTTCAAGTCCAAAATTTGTTTTAATCTTAACATAAGTATCCAGTATACCTTCTTGTGACAATCTTATCAAGTTCCACTCATTCATGTAGTAAGAAATTAAATGTTTTTTGCATTTTATCTTGAACGTTTGCAATTTGTTAGAGAAAATATCCTTATTAAAGTTTATCATTTCTGCAGTTTTACTAAATGTTCCATACCAAGATGGTATACTATTACTCCAGTTAATCTTACTTTGAGAGTATGCTGCTTTCAATAATGGGAATGACATATCTAGACATTCTAATCTATGGACATAATTCAAAATACTTTTTATAATATCAAAATGAAGAGGGAGCCTACCAAGCTCAGATAATGAGGAGAAGTTTGCACTTTTCCTATGCAGTCCCAATATATTCTTACAAAATTTTAAGTGTAGATTCTCGCACTTCAACTTATTAAAAATATCATATACAAAGAGTTTGGAGGTTTTAAGAAAAATACTTGGCTGATTAATGTTCCCCCATATTTCACACCCATAAAGCAAAATAGGTTTTATTGTATGATCAAATACATGTAGGGATGTTTTAACACTTGGCTTCAATGACAAAAATTCTTTTCGCAGTTTATAAAAATCTATTAGTTATATACATATATATATATATATATACATAGAAGGGTAGTTAGATCTCCCTGTTCAATCAATGTTAGGACATAGGTATTCCTCATGGCTATGATTAACTTACATGTAACATGAAATACCATTTGGCGAAAACCGTAGTAGCTACAGAACTGTTGCGTGAAAGGTGCAATTTATGTAGTCTGAAAAATCTGACGTTTTCCTGGCTTTTTTACGATTTTGATATTTTACATGCCAGGAAAACGTCAGAACCGGCGCCATTACGAAAACTGGAAATTTCGCCGTCTTCAACTGGAGTTGATTTTTGATACTTGTGAACAGACCTAAATGCCGAAATCAGAATTCATCAAAAGCACAATGCCTCTACTACTCACCAATATCGATGAAAAGAAAATATCACTCCACATTTCGTAACAGGACATGCAAGATTTTAAAATGCACGATATGAAGACAAATCTCGACAGTGTGATAAAACCTTTTTCAACAGATTATTTATTTTATAAATGAACCATAAAAAATATACTGGTAAGTTCTTTAAGTATTGTACTATTGATAACTTTTGACTTTGAAATTTAATTCAGTTCGCAAGTATCTAAAATCAACTCGAGAATGCCGCCTCCGGTTGGAGGCGGCGATTTCCCAGTTTACGTAATGGCGCCGGTTCTGACGTTTTCCTGGCATGTAAAATATCAAAATCTTAAAAAAGACAGGAAAACGTCAGATTTTTCGGACTACAATTTACGGTGCCACAGTTTTTGTGCACTTTTGAGGAGAATTTTTCCACTTTTCTTTTCTAGACATATTCTTGAACTAATCTTTATACAGTACCTGGCCATAAGTCTGTCATAAAAATGGCTGACATAACATAAAATGAAAAATGTGAATGCAAAATTCAAAAATAAAAAAAATCCATTAAGCACTCACCTTTTTAATCTCTAGTATTTACGAGGGGTTATCAAAAAGTTCGTGGACTAGCACCATGAAATTAAAACTGCTTAAGGTACATCAATGAATTTTGAAAAATCTAGTTAGCATCATCTTTTCTATCCAAAGAATAAACCACAAATCATGAATTTTATTTTTAGATAAATTAGTACTGTTTTTGTAAGCAATGGTATGTCCAGGCGGCGCAACCTCAAAAACTACGTTTTTTGACCTATGTGTAACTGAGAAAAACTCTTTTGATATGATCATTCGACATCCAAAAAACCCGTTAATTCAGGTTTGTGTCGGGACACAATTGTTCAATAAAATATGAAATTTTCACTTCATTCTGAAAGTCCTATGATATT